TGAGTATTGTGACTGTTTTCATACGTTCTGGCCTGATTGGGGAGTCAAACAGAGGTGTAGATACTGATTTCATGTTTTCTACAGCCATGTGATTGTACATGGAGCTTTGTATAGAGATTCTAAGAGCCCAGTCCTGTTCCCATTAAAGTCAGTGTCTATACTTACACTGACTTCAAGATCTGACCCCTAAACATCTGAAAAGGGATTCCCACATTTCACTGGTTGTCTAAAAGGATTTGGAAACCTTACATATACTCACTGTGTTGTGTAGGATTACCTGTACTGTCTTATGTCTCTCTATTGTAATATCCTGTCCTCTGTTCTGGGTTTTAAAGAATTTCAGACATTTTCAGGTCTCAATCTTGCTTTATGGAAACAGGATTAAGATATTAAGGTCTAATATAGTTTTGCAGGTTTATTTTTTTTAATTATTGCTTTGAATTCTTGGGTTCCAAGCACTAGTAAAATTGGACTGTGAGAATCTTTAATGTGTCTTTGGCAGTCCTTTGCGACTGAATGATAGTTATTTCTTCTACCAGTTGTATGTTTGTCTTTCTTTGTGTCACTAGAGCTGATGCAGGATGTTAGTGACTCCCAGAGTGTTCACATAGCTGTAGTTTTAAGCATCTGTCAATGTTTCTTTGCTATATGTGCTTAAAGGGGGTCCAAATGATTCAGCTAGGAACATTGCCAAATTAGGTGGAATCTCCTCCTTTGATCTATCCTACCCTTCCATGCTCTCTCCCCACCCGATATCTGTTTGGCTGTTTTTAAGATCTCTTGGGCTGTGAGAGCCTAATCCTAAGAGGTTCTGAGCACCTGCAATTTCTGTTTAAGTTAATGGCTGTTGTAGGTGTTCAGCACCTGTTAGAAACAGGATCTAAACATTAATCATTTCACTTTTCTCTTTACATGACTTGCTATCCAGGCACCTGATCTTGAATCACTGAAGTCAATGGGAGTTTTAGTATTGATGTCAATGGGAGCAGGAACAGACCCCAAGGGCTCTCTTCTTTATTTCTGTTTTAAATTATTTTGATTTGATTGATATTTAGATAATTCACTTTCAATTATTTTTTTCACCCATTACATTTTATTTTATTATTACTGCTTTTTTTATCTTCCTCTTTTCTAGAATTGTTCTGCTGGTTTGTATCCCACACATCAGCAATTCACAATATATGGAGTTATTCTGGAAGCTCTATGTTGATGCTAGTGGAATGTTTTTGCTAAACATAAGGGCCGGTCATAATGGACAGTTCATTTGAGTCTAAAGACAAGACGTTGCTAATTTGCTAAATGTAAGTGGTTGATTGGTTTTCATAAAATTAATATACCATTTCATCTGACTGGCAGATAGTTATCTAAACTCAGATACAAACTAATTCAAACAAACAAAATAGAATAATTCAATTTTTAAATTTATTTTCTATCAACAGAAAATTAAAGGCCAGATGAGACTATTTGGGAGACTAAGACCTGGTCTACACTAAAAAGTTAAGTCTACCAATTATGTCTCTCAGGGGTGTGGAAAATCCACACCTCTGAGCTACATAGGGAAATTTACCTAATCCCCAGTGTAGACATCACTATCGCCTATTAGGGAGGTGGATTACTTATGCTGAGGGGAGAACCCGTTTGCCATATCTGACTTTTTTTTCCCCCCCATTTCTATTTAATTCTGCCTTTATGTGGGTGTAACACCTCTTCAAGAGAAATGTAGACTTTGCAGGGATGGAAAGTTGATCTACCAGTACTGTATGAAATGTGACTCTATTTTGATTGCAATTTGTGGAGTAATTAAAGCATTTTTACTGTTCACTTGACAGGGTTGGGATTGGGATTTTTATTAGGGAGGAAGGATGGCTTTGTGGATAAGGTCCTGGCCTGGGATTCAAAATATTGGGGTTCAGTTTCTGGCTCTGCCACAGACTTTCAGTTTTACCTTGGGCAAGTCACACAATCTCTGTGCCTCATCAGTTTCCCATCAGTTAAATGGGGATAATGATGCATCCAGGTGTGCTGTATGGATAAATCCAGTAATATACTTGTAAGCTTCACAGATACTAGCCAATGGAGAGTAATGGGGGCATGAAAGTAGAATATAGTTATCTTTTCTTAATTTTTTTTTTAACTACTGCCCATCATCCTGGTATCTGAGCTCTTAGAATCTTTAAAATCAATAGCAGTAGTGAAGTCCCGAGTGAACCTCATGGAGTCTCAGGCTTTTCTCCCTTTTTGGAGTAAAACTGGGGCAGGGTTTGTTGTCAGACACTCCCGGTGTGGTGCTCTGCTCTGTTCAATGCTGATATCAATTGGCTGCGTGCGTGAGTTCCCTCTGTGTGCTGCCCCAGCTCTGCGCAGATAGCTGACACAGCAGATCCCAAGAGAACCCCCAATGACCACAGACTCTAGTAAGGTACGAAGGCACGTCGGCCAGGTTTATTGTCAAACGAAGCACAATAATAGTTCCCTCTAGACTTTACTCTACAGGACATACTACGAATACGTGCCCCCTGGCAATGGACTCAGCTCAGTCAGTGGCGGGACTTTCTACTGCCCCCTAGGCTGGACAAAGACATCCACTCAGGGGCGCATTCTTATACACAGGTACAAACAAGTTACACATCACTCCTGACGTATTGAGGTGCAACCCCTCTACGCAGCAAGGTACAACCCCACAACGTAGCAAGGTGCCGCCTCTCACCTTGTACATGTTGGTTCGAACAAAACAACTCTATCCATCATATTACCCCTTTGGCCCTGTCAGTGGGATGGGTCAGCTTGTTCCTTGTTATCTGTGTGGAGTGTACAAGTATGCAAATGTTCTGATATCTGGTGTCCAGTACCTTTTAGGTATGTCTCTTTTTGCAGCATCAGCCCTTTCCTTGCCAGCTTCTGTGAGCAGGGCCTGCCTCTAGCTCACAGCTTAACTTTGGTTTATGTTAGCAAAAGTCTTGACCATTACTTTAGTTCAGACCTTAGGCCTCATACCGGGCCTCTGATACCAAGGTTTATATCTCAGGGCCTCTTCTTACTACAGGGATATTTTTTATTTTATTTTATTTTTTAATTGATTTTCTTTGTTATTGTCTGGTTGGTATGGGTACTCTGGTGTTTATATAACACCCATGACTTGACTATCCAGGGTATATCTTCCCAACACCTCTCAAGTGAATGGATCTGGAATGTTGCTGAGGAAAGACAGAAGAAAAGGATAAAACACTGAGAATCAATAAGTATATTATCTTCCTGTACTAGCATGCCAGCCCAGTTCTGATGCGATCTTTCAATTTTTCCCTCCCCCTACGGCCTGAAATGACCAGTCTCTTCTTTTAAGAGGTCTTTTCACCCCATCTCTGGGTACTTTTCTGCATAGTCATGCTAATTGACTTCCAAATGAATTAACACACATGGCCAGGGAAGGATATGTAGTTTTAAAAGTGAGCGCAAGCCTGGTAGCTTGGAGGCAATGCTCTTCGCAGCCTCGTGGGACTTCCCTTTGAGAACATCTGCCCGGTGTGGTGAACCTACCAGAAGCCACGAGAAAAGGAAGCCCGCACTATCGCTTTCAGATAAAGAACGCTGAAGATGAGCTGCCCTGGAACAGGAACGTTTCCTATATGGGGATATGTATTTGGGAAGCTTTTTTAAAACAAGAACTAAAATATTTAGTTCGTTAAAGGAACACACGAAAACGTGACTTCAGGCATTCCTATTGCTCATGTCTCATTTTAGCAATATACAAGGAAGGGGCATAATAAGGTGTGTGGGGGGGGGGGGGGGTTAGGTCCCAGGCACTTTCCCTGTAAGAGTACCCACCGATTTCTTCCCCGGTGAAAAAGAACTATTTCTCTGCTTCTGCCACTTCGTCAAGTCATGATATTATTCAACCTGCGCACCTTTCCAAAGGCATGTTACTTTAGGTTTTCTTGATGAATTAGGCATCAAATGTGTACAGGGCGTAGCTTCGCGGCGCGCCTTTAGAGTCCACCTTCCTCCCAGCTGCTCAGTCACTCTGTGACAGCCCTAAGACGTGACCAGTACGCCCCCGATCTCTAACGAGGGAAATGCAGTGTTCCCATTTACACGAGGTGGTGCCTTACTGGAGTCCCGGCAGTGCCTGGAGGTTCACTGCGGTTGCCCTATGTGTCAGATGAGGTTACCCACAAGCTATTAGCAGGAGTAGGGCAAAGTGTGTGGCCGGCCAGGGGCTGCTCTGAGGCTGGGACTGTGTAAAGCAGGAGGGTTTCAAGCTGAGAGCGTGTCTCTTGGTAAATGACAGAGCAAACCCTCACAGCGTCACCCATCCAGCCCAGGCGCCAGGGCTGAGGGAGGCTGGGAGCTGTCCTGTCAGGCCGGGGCTGGTGGCTAGCCGGGCAAGGCGGTTCACGCAGCTGTGGTGCCTGCGGGCTGCCCCGGCACTGGCAGGAGTATCTTGGCCGCCGGGCGTCTCCCAAAGAAGGAGAAGCCGCAGCCGGCCGGCCAGGGGCTCACGGGGCGACGGAGCGGGGGTTGGGGCTCCTGACTCACCGAACCAAAGAGGGGGGACAAAACCCCACGTGGGCCCCCAGCCGCTTCTCCCCTGAACCCCTCTCGCCCCCATTCCTGTTCTCCAGGACCCTTCCCTTTCCCCCGAGTGCCGCCCCCTCCCTTTCCTGACCCCTTCCCCCCGGCCCTGCCTCTTACCCCTGCGTCCCGCCCCCACAACCCCACCTTCCTCCCCTCAGTGACCCGCCTCCGCCCCCCGCCCCATCACCTCGCCGCCCCGAGGGGGGAACAGAGCCAGCCCCCTGCTCCCCCTGCTCCCAGCCGGGGCTGGCCGCGCTGGTGCCGCCCGCAGCGGAGGCGGGCTGAGCAGGACACCCCCCCGCCCCAGTGCAGTGGGCGGCGGCGGCTGCAGCAGCAGAGCCCAGCGCCGGTTGAGAGGTGCAGGCTGGAGCCCGGCGACGTCTCCGCACCGAGCCTCTCCGTGCCCAAGCGAGCGGCGCCCGGGAAGGATGCGCCGCTGGCCGCTGCTCCTGTGGGGGCTGCTGCTCCCCGCCGCCACCGCGGCCGCCGGGCGCTACCCGCACAGCGCCGTGCTGGACGGGGCGGCCGGATACCGGCTCCTGTGGGGCCACCAGGGCAGCAGCATCTCCTTCCGCCTGGAGGTGCGCACCCAGGGCTACGTGGGCTTCGGGCTCTCCCCCACCGGGGCCATGGCGTCCGCGGACATCGTGGTGGGAGGCGTGGCCAGGGGCAAGCCCTATCTGCAGGTAAGAACCGCGCCGCCCCCAGCACCTGGCCGACGACCCCCGCTCCAGCCAGGCTACGAGCTGCACCGCCGCCAGCAGCTGCGCCGCTGGGAGCAGCCCGAGGCAGCGGGAGAGGACGGAGCGCTGGGGACCAAGTCACGCTCTGCCCTTGCGTGTGCCCGCTCTAGTTCTCTCGCCTCTGCGTCTCTCCTCTTCCCTCCGCACACCCTGCTTGCCTTGCTGTGCCCTGCCTGCTCTGCGAGCCTCTGCCCTTCCCTTCGCTAAGCTCTCTTCCCGCTCGGTCTTTCCCTGCCCTTTCCAGCCTTTCCTTTCGCTAGAACTAACTTTCTTTCTTTCTTTCTTTCTTGTGTATGTGACCCTTCTTCTGTCCCTCTGCCCACTTTTCCTTTATTAAAGCTGTCACGGTGCTCCTTCCCCCCCCCAGGATCAAGAATAGATAACAACCTTTTTCTCTCCCCTTTCCCCGCTTTCTCCGCGTTGCGTTTCGGGACTGAGCTCTGCGCCCGGAGAAGTGAAGCGCAAAAGCGGAGCCTCTTCCAGCGGCATGCGCCTTCCTTGGCACACTGTTGCCCATGAACAGTTAACTACGCTTCCCGCGGGTGGCGCAGGCTTCGTGTATTATAATCTTCCTGCCCTTGGAGTTTCTCCTTTCTAGCCAATCTATAAACCCTACCGACATTATGATCGCCTTATAATCGGGATGTAACTTCCCCAACTTTTAGCCCCAGATCCAGCCTCATCAACTGGAGCATAAACTGTCTCTGCCCATCTCTGTTCAAGCCATTATGTACTGGAAGCAGACAGTAATAGTTTGACCTTGTTCTCACAAGGGGGTTCAACAGCAGCAACTTTATGTTATGTGAGTACAGTATTTGTACTTGCAAAATGTACCTCCTGGTAAGACAAGCTCCCAGGATGGTTTCAGTGAAACTCTCCAGGCCACTTGTTTTAATATAAGCCTGGCGGAAACATTTGCTAGGTAATGCTAAGAGGCCTGGCTTTGAAACAGGAGTCCAGAACCACATCCCCCTAACTTAATTGGTGTTGTAGAAGTGTATAAAAAATTATTAGAAATTGATCAGATGCCCGTTTTGCCATGGGAACAGCAATCCATTCATAACAGTGTAAATCTGAAGGAACTATTTTGAACCCAATGAACTTAGATGATGTAAAATTGGTGTGAGAGGAGAATCAAGCCTGGTATCTACAAATGATTAACCAAATTCTGCCACTCTTACTTGCCTTGAATAGTAATTTATTCTCCCAGTAACTCCACTGATTTTAAAGGGGCTACTCATGGAGTAAAGTAGTAGCCAAAGCAAATAGAGGTGGAAAAAATCAAGCCCTATAATATACTCCTGAGGGCATCCTGTGCCAAAAAAATTAAAAATGCTGTGCACAATATTTTAAAATTCTGCACATTTTGTTTATTAAATAAATGTGGAGGCTCCAGCATGGCATTGGGGAAATACAGGTCACTGGCTGCACAGAAGTGGGAGAACACTGTGCAGTTCCCTTCCTCCCCCCCGGGCATGGACTCAGCGGTGAGGCTGCACCCAACCCTGACACACTGCAAGGACTGGGCCTGCCCCAGAAACATCCAAAGGCCCTGCCCCTCTATGCCAGGTGCACCTGATGTGGGCAGGCAGGCTCAGCAAGGCAGGATCCAAGTGTGGAGGGGCTTAGTGTGGGGGGATCCAGGTGTGGGTTGAGAGGGTTCTGTGCGGAGCAATCTGGGTGCGGACAGCTCAGTGGGGGATTTGGGTGTGGAGGGCATGTGGATGCAGAGGGGATTGTTGGGTTTTTTTTGGATGCAATGGTAATGGGACTCTGCAGGGGGGTCCAGGTGAAGGTGGTTGGGGCTCAGCAGGGGGAGGGGGTCTGGGTGTGGGGGGGACCAGATGCTGGGGGAGTGGGACTCAGTGGGGTGGGGATCCAGGTGCAACTGGTTGGGGATCAGTGGGGTGAGGATCCGGGTGCGGGTGGCTCATCAGGGTGGTCCAGGTGCAGGGGGAGTGGGGCTCCTCGGAGGGGGGTTCTGAGTGTGTGTGTGGGTGAGGCTCAGTGGGAGGGTCTGAGTATGAGGGGGTCTGGATGCATGGGGGTTGGGCGATGGGGGAGCAGCTCTCTGTACAGGGATCCCTCCCCCTGCAGCTGAGGAGCGATGGGTGCAGGAAGCCGTGGGGGTGGGGGAAGTTTGCAGAGTTTCCTGCAGCTGGGGAAGAAATCTGGGGATGAGTCTGATCCAGCGCAGGGGATATTGTGCAGGGGAAGAAGAAATCCCATCCTCCCCAGCCCAGAGTAGCAGCTGAGCCCGGCACAGGCTAGGAGCCACCAGCCAGGTCTTCCGCAGTCTTGCCTCCTGCCCCACAGTGCTTTGCCTCTCTGCCGGCTGCCCTGTGCACCCAAAACATACTGCTGGGGAGGGTCACATGACCACTCTTGTGGCTTCCCTTTGCTTCCCTGTCAGAAAGTCATTTTCTGCGGGGAAGCAAAAAATCTACGGGGGACATAAATTCTGCTCATGTGCAGTGGTGCAGAATTCCCCCAAGGGTAATAATTGTAGCCTTTCTTTTCTCCTCCAGGATTTACTAGAAGTATTTGATCATTGAAACGACTTCATACAAATTGGAGGTGCTTTTATTTTAAGCATATGGCATCTCTAAAACTTCAGCAATGGAAACCAAATTCTAAAATTTCTCTGTTGCATCAACTCAATAATCAAATAATCAATAATCAGATTTTCTAAAATAAACTAATTTTGGAATACTAGTAACATGTTTAACATTTGGGATACTTTGTTATTTTACTGCATGAAGTACAGGCATATATTAACTGATAATTTCAGGTAAAAAGGGATTTTCTTTGATCTTTCAAACTGAAGATAGATTTACAGAAAATCTGTCTTTGAATAAAACACAAAACCAAAAGAGACCAGTTTAGTTATCTGGAAATGTATGTCTTAGGGTATGTCTACACTACGAGGGTAATTCGATTTTACTTAAATCGAATATGTGGAATCGATATTGCAAAGTCGAACGTGTGTGTCCACACTAAGGACACACTAAGGACAGTAATTCGACTTTGTGAGTCCACACTAACGGGGCGAGCGTCGATATTGGAAGCGGTGCACTGTGGGCAGCTATCCCACAGTTCCCGCAGTCCCCGCTGCCCATCGGAATTCTGGGTCGAGCCGCCAATGCCTTCTGGGTAAAAAAAATTTGTCGTCATCCGTCCGTCACTAACGCCCTCCCTCCCTCCATGAAAGCGCCGGCGGGAAATCAGTTCGCGCACTTTTCTGGTCAGTGACAGCGCGGACGCCACAGCACTGCGATCATGGATCACGCTGCGACCATCGCTGCACTTGTGGCCGTTCTCAACACCTCGCAGCTTATCATACACCTTTCCCTGAGGCAGATGCAGAGAAATCGGGCGAGGAGGCTACGGCACCGCCGTGAGAGCCTGAAGTCGGAGAGTGGCACAGAGCTGTCAGAAACCACGAGCCCCAGCGCCCAGGACATCACGGTGGCAATGGGGCATGTGGATTTTGTTGAACGGCGATTCTGGGCCCGGGAAACAAGCACGGACTGGTGGGACCGTATAGTGCTTCAGGTCTGGGATGAATCCCAGTGGCTGCGAAACTTTCGCATGCGGAAGGGGACTTTCCTCGAACTTTGTGAGTTGCTGTCCCCTGCCCTGAAGCGCAAGGACACCCGCATGCGAGCAGCCCTCACTGTCCAGAAGCGAGTGGCCATAGCCCTCTGGAAGCTTGCAACGCCGGACAGCTACCGGTCAGTCGCGAACCACTTTGGTGTGGGCAAATCTACCGTGGGGGTTGTTGTCATGCAAGTAGCCAAGGCAATCGTGAAGGTACTGCTCCCAAAGGTAGTGACCCTGGGAAACGCGCAGGTCATCATAGATGGCTTTGCCGCGATGGGATTCCCAAACTGCGGTGGGGCTATCGATGGGACTCACATCCCTATCCTGGGACCGGACCACCAGGCCAGCCAGTACATCAATAGAAAGGGCTACTTTTCAATGGTGCTGCAAGCACTGGTGGACCATCGGGGACGGTTTACAAACATCTACGTCGGATGGCCGGGCAAGGTTCATGACGCTCGTGTGTTCAGGAACTCTGGTCTGTTTAGACGGCTGCAGGAAGGTATTTACTTCCCAGACCACAAAATAACTCTTGGGGATGTGGAGATGCCTACAGTCATCCTCGGGGACCCAGCCTACCCGCTAATGCCCTGGCTCATGAAGCCCTATACTGGCGCCCTGGACACAGAAAAAGAACTGTTCAACTACCGTCTCAGCAAGTGCAGAATGGTGGTGGAGTGTGCTTTTGGCCGTCTCAAAGGGAGATGGAGAAGCTTACTCACTCGCTGTGATCTCAGTGAAACCAATATCCCCATCGTTATTGCAGCTTGCTGTGTGCTCCACAATCTATGTGAGAGCAAGGGGGAGACCTTTATGGCGGGGTGGGAGCTAGAGGCAAATAGCCTGGCTGCTGATTACGTCCAGCCAGACAGCCGGGCCATTAGAAGATCCCAGCGGGACGCCCTGTGCATCCGGGAGGCTTTGAAAGCTAGGTTCCTGAGTGAGCAGGGCAACCAGTGACTTTTCAGTTTGTGGACAGAGAAGCTGAACCTGCCCCCGTTTCTTTACCCAGTTCATTTTGACTATCCTCTCCAGTTACATACCCCCTTCACCCCCTTCCCCTTCCCAAAAAATAAAATCATTTCGATTTTGTTAATGAACAGCGTTGTCTGTATTGCTGTTTTCGCGGGAATATTTTAAACCGGGGACGCAGACTGTGGCGGGGGGCGGGTTCAGTGTTCTGATGCAAATGATGCTTCTAAACTCCCGGAATGACAGGCTCCGCACTGGTGGACTGGTTATTTCAATGGAGAACATGAAAAACACCTCCCAGACTGACCAGGGTAACCAGTGACTGCACTGTGTATGTGTCCTGATGCTGGACCTGACACCGCCTCTGT